CCTTCGGGGTGCAGTGGGGGATCCCATGGACGTGCAACGGGGGATCCCTTGGGGTGCAGCAGGGGATCCCACAGGATTGCAACAGGCATCCCGTAGGAGACGCGTTGCCCCGCGCCCCGGTTCGGCCAAGTGACCCAAACCCAACCGCCTCCGGATTTGGGGTGTCGGACGGGTCCCCCACTCACCATGGCTGCCACCCAGTTCCCGCCGGCCTCGGCCCCCGTTGGGGCGAGCACCCGCCTGAGCCCCGGCACAGCTCGTTACGCCGCTGCGGCCTACGGAGGGTGACGAAGGGTGACGAGCAAAGGATGTACCTGGGATGGGAAAACCAATGGGGCCAACGGGAGGGACGGGCTTCCTCACTTGGCTCCTTTAACTCTTTCGGGGGGGCCCCAAACCCCGTTTGGGGGGGCCCCCATATCCTCCCCAGCTGCTGAAAGCATCCCCCCCCAATAAATCACTGCAGCTCGCTCGCCAGCAAAGGGATGCGACGTTTCTCCCGGGAACGTGCAAGCGCACAATCCTGCAAGCATGTGATTGTGCAAGCGTGCTGTTCGCAAGCGTGCTGCTTGCAAGCATGCAAGTGAAGGGGCTAGCGCCCAATTCTGCAGGCATGCAGTCGTGCAAGCACGCGGTTGTGCAAACAGACAAGCATGCAAGTGTGCAAGCACACGCTTGTGTGAGCAAGCAGGTTTGCAAACAGCCAAGCGTGCAGTTGTGCAAGGGGGCACGTGCAATTTTGCAAGCATGTGCACAGGCAAGTGTGCAAGCACACAGTTGGGTGCAAGCTTGCAAGCCTGCAATTGTGCAAACGTACAAGCATATGATCATGCAAGTGTGCACGCACCCAGTTGTGCAAGCCTGCGATTTTGCAAATGCGCAAGCATGCGGTTGTGCAAGCTTGTAAGTGTGCAAGCATGCAAGTGTGCTCATCGGGCTGCGACCTTGCCCCCCCCGTGTGTTTAACAGCCCCCCGAAGGGTTTGGGGGTTTGACCCTGGCCAGATTTGTGCATGCAGCCTCGCAGCGAGGAGTTCCCCAGGTTGTGGCTTTCCATCTGCTGGGCTAACGAGCTTTTTAATGAGCTTTTCACCACCGGCAGGCACCCACAGCTGCGTTGCATGGGGGGGGTGACAGGAGTGGGGGGGGGACATGGTGCCACCACCCCAGACCGCTGTGCTGTGCTGGTGGGCTGAGCACTGACGCACTCGTCTCACAGATGGGGCTGCAAACTGCTTTGCTGGGCTGGGAAAGCGCTGGGAGGTGGTGGGGTGGGGATGCAAAGGGCCGGAGCAGGGGTGGGGGGTGCCGGAGGGATTTGGGGGTCTGCAGGAGCCATGCCCATCCCGGGGGTGTCAGGGCAGCATTGGGACACCCTTGGTGGCACCCCGAAGCTTTTGGGGAGTGGATTTTTGGGCTGAGACCGCCACCTTCTGGGAAGCCACCCACGGCTTCACGGGTGACGGAGCCCCACGGTCCCCCACGATGGGGAAACTGAGGCAGGGGAAGGGTGTCACCCTCCTGCCCTTTCGACGAAGCCTTGTTTACTGTAGGACCTACACTAAAGCCGTTTCAGGCAGGGAGCACTCGTGGGCTGCAGCGGGAGCCCGCGTGGGGAAACTGAGGCAGGGGGACCCCCTCTTCTCCATCACCGCCACCCCAAAACACGTTCGTGTCGCTGGCACTTTTTTGGGTGAAAAGAATGCAAAATCCGGCAAAACACACACCTCCCCCCCCCCCCCCAGCGGTGCAACCCCACTTTCTCTCCCCTGCGTGGGCGGGAGAGGATGCTTAACACCCACAACCGGGCTTGGGTGCACCCCAGTCCTCCCAGTCCTCCCAGTCCAACCCGGCAGAGGGCACCAGTAAGCCCA